ATTTGTGGGTATTGCGAATATGGTGATTCTTTAAAGCCTAATATGCAGCGTCTCGTGGTTCTTTGACAAACCTTGAATGGACGTATGTGATTCACTCAATGACCAAATTGAGCTCTGTAGGTTAGGTCTCGAAGAATACACATCTTACTCGACGACTTACGACTCTTAACAACAAGGAGAGGGGTAAATTTCTTTTCATTAGCTCTTTCATCGACGAGTAGGCCTAGGCGTGGTTTCAACGATTATTTTGAGAGAAACAACAACGACAAATATTGGTCTAGGAATATTTATATAATACAGCACAGTGCAAAATGCACTGATCTTTTACATTAAATTACAAACGCTACATAAATCTGCGTCGACAATGAACAAAATGTCCATAAAGAAACAGTAAGACCCCTAATTACATACTCGTACTTGTAGTCAGACTGCAATAAGTATTATAACTTTGCAATTCTTGCAAAAACATTTAATATGACCATTACTATCATAAACGCGATTTTCGTTACATTACTCTAAATGACAGGTCAGTACGGCAATTCCTTAACAAAGGGTTAGTAATGGATATTAAAACGCTATATTAATCAGGGTAATTGTAATGACTTTAGATCGTATAAAATTGTTCTTCAGACAATCAGTACGGCGTCGTCGCGGCGACCTCGTTTACCGGCCAGCCCTTATAAGGAAGCTGCAGACCTTATGGCAGCGGTCACAAGGTTTAACATCTGTCAATCGGAGACCTTTCGACATTTAACACTTTGGGATTCTAGTTGGGTGGAGGTCGCCATCAAATGAATCACCTGGGGTTCGTCTGTGATTTATTACAGATCAAGCGAAACTGTCACATTCATAGTCACAGAACTTCTTCAATCGATGTTTTAGGGACTCACCACACACGTCGACGCAAAATCGGCTTGAGCTAGAAGAAAAGAAGAGAAAGATCTGCATTTCAACTGTGTCGAGTCGTGTCGTCAGTCGTCGTCCTTTTCACGCTTGTTGCATGGTGTCGACAGGTGTGGTGTCTACATGGGTGCATCGTAGTTCCCAGTCAATAGGGTCCCCTGTTTACAACTAGGAAATAACACCAAAGTCTATGCGACAAGTCCATAACAATCTCAACAATAAAATGACGGATTACGAATTATTAAGAAATTAATATGGCAATATTATGATATATTAATAAAAGGCCTTCTACTAGGAGTTGAAGCATCCAGGTGGAGGCACACCCCAGTTATTTGACGTTTCGGACTCTCGTAGGTCGCCAAAAATGCTGTCCGCTCACAATCTCCAATGTAGCTGTAGATGTAACCGGTATGTTTTGCATTTTATTACTTGTCAATTAATTTAGTTGTTATTTTAATTGTCATCAATTTTTTAAATAACTAAATAAGAAATTGTTACCCTATTAATTTTACAATTTTATGAAATGGAATAGGTATTACATATATACACATTTTATATTAAATTAATCATATCGAAATAGTGCGTATGGTACCTAATGTATTTAGTTATGTTCCTACTATGTTTCTACACTTATACTGAGACGGCAATGGTTGACAGATTCCGTAACAACGCAGCGCACATTGTTTATCTTCGTATTATTTATTAATTTGTATAGGGTTTTCCAATAAGGACATAACAATTTTGTATTTGAATAAAACACAGAATATACGAGATATCGAGCTGAAATTTATTCTTGGAATCCCAATCACAATAAAATTTAGCATTTTCTGAATAAATCTTAATAACAAGTCAAAAAAGGGTCAATTTTGGATTGAGCGACTGTTCTTGAAAAGCAGCGACATGTTACATTTAAAAATAGAATTCAATCTCGTTCATATGCCCACCGCGAGCGCATATGCAGCGGTCACACAGCTGGTGAGACAATCGATCTATTGAAGAGGAAGTTTCATAATCGTGTAATCTCGCGAAATGGTCCGGTCGAATGGCCATTCGACTCCAATGCCGTTGGATTACTTTTTATGGGGTTACGTTAAGTCGTTGGTTTATGCCAACAAGCCAACAACATGAAATGAGCTTAGGAACAATATCAAACGCGAAATTGCCACGTCTCGGCCGATCGGTGAGCGAGGGTGGTGGAAAATTGGCTCCAAAGAATTGAACACTGCAAATGTGCTCGCGGTGATCATATGAAACAGGATCGAATTCGATTCTTAAATGTAACATGTGTACTGCACCTGGATTAAATTTCGGCTCGATATCTCAATTATTCTGTGTTTTATTATTATAATACAAAATTGTTATGTCCCTATTGAAAAACCCGATACTATATTGAGGTAATTGTTTTAAGTCTTGCATTATAATCGTGAAATATTATGAATTGTGGTTATACAGTGCGTGTGTTGTATGGTACTGTGCTGTGATTTTTTATGCAATAAATGATTTTCTATTCTATTCCATACACAGAATAGACAGCAATGATGATCAAGGGATTGAAATAACTTAATCTTGATTATGCACTATTGAAATGCGAAAACACGTAATCGTATATCTCCAATGGTAATATAGTCAACTATGCCATTATGTAAATTAATTAGGATGCAACCAACAATCTCACCTAGCCTGTATCTTGCATACCGTGTTTTTACTACATTGCAACGCATCATAATTAGGCATTGCCCTACCAACAAATAATTAGTAATAATAATCGCGACACGAGATGAACCGAATGGTAGGTAGAATAAATTACGTTTGTGAAATATAAACACATCGAAAGTGGTCGAAGAATCGATCATGATATTTTGTTATTTTCTAGAAGCAGAGGAAGACGAGTTAGAGGTAGACCGAGGTTACACAGGGTTATTTGTAAAATACTAACAACCTCGTATGACTATATTACTAACATCATATACAACAACTTTTGTTCCATGACTCAATAATTCATCAGATTTTCGTACAAAAATTTAAAAAATTAAATAGATCGCTTTAAACCAGTATTTCTTAACCCGTAATCCATGGACCCCTAAGGGGTCCGTGTAATGAATGCCAAGGGTCCATGGCGAGCCTACCTAACATAATGCATTAATATAAATAGGTATTGTGCACGTGACCATTTTGAATTTTCGCGCCCTTGCGACATCTTTTGTTTTTATAATATCAAGTGACGGAACGAACGAATCTAGCGCCTGATAGTAATCTACACCCCAGTCCATAACAGTTGCAGTACCACTCACAGCTTTAAATCGCAAAGATCTGAGGAAAACTGCCACTGCGCCCGTCACCCTGTGACATAAGTTGACAAGTCCGCGAGTTGCGAGCCCTTCTTCATATTTTCAGAAAGGGTCTGTGTGCTCTTTGACGTTTGGGAGGGGTCCATGACTATAAAATGATTAAGAAACCCTGCTCTAAACGATGATAGCTCTGTACGGTAGCAAAAGAAACCGCCACCATGAAAATTATTTATATGAATAACAGTTGCTAAACAACTTACTAAAATACAGACCTAAAAACAATATATTACCAGTCAAAGTAAGGAATTCCCTGTACTATGAATACCAGCAGCGCTAGCACGATAGGCTGCGTCTTACGCAAGAAGCCACATAGAAGCGCGAAATATTGCTATCATCGCGCTTCTATGTATGTCGCTTCTCGCGCCCTATCATGCCAACGCTGCTGAGCGACGGAATTCACTCTGGAGTACCATTAACCACTAGTAACCCATACCCATGTATGAGTACATGGGTATGGGTAGTATCTCAAAACATTTGATTTGGGAATTTTGTGATTTGAAAAGTGAACTACGTTACCGAGGCCGTTAAATATGGTGAATTTGCAGTTATACAAGATTTAGGAAACATCAAATCAACACCAGAAAAACGTAGAGGGCGCTACACCTACATTAATCAATTGTAGAAGAAGTTTAATAAAGGTGGGTAGTTAAAAATTATAAACCCTATTTCAGTTCAAAACATTATGAAATATTAAAAAAAAAGCTTAACAATTGACAGCGATAATTATAACTTTTTTATATAAAAACCGACCTCAAAAGTTCTTAGAATTAAATCTATTTGCCAAATTTTATTAAAATCAGTTACCGGAAAGTGCGCGAAACGGATTCATGCCCTAGTTTGCCGCCCTTAGAGGTGGAATATTTTCTTCAAATTTAAATGGGACCAATAGTGAGGTACCTTCTTTCCAACAAAAAGAGAATCATCGAAATCAGTTCACAAATGCAGGAGTAATCGCATTACATACAAAAAAAATACAGTCGAATTGAGAACCTCCTCCTTTTCTGAAGTCGGTTAAAAACAATTATAGTGCTTTTCGTATAAAGGAATTTAGTAGAAATCAAATCACGGTCATTCGTACTGCTCATACAGCCGGGAAAGGAACTGCGAATTTTTTTGCCGAACGCATTAAGTGCGTACGCGCAATGAGTCATACATATCGCTGTCGGTCAAGGGTGGCTGCCAGGGCAGACTTCATGATAATACTTGATATAATAAAGTTAGTAAAGGTCTCGCCGCGTATATTTTTACCGTACTATTTCGAGAACACCGAAATTCCAATTTCTACATCTGTAATTATGATGTTTACTTTTATTTAGCATCGTTTCTTGCCTCAAAGTGAGCATAACATTTAAAGTGAAAAGCATGGTATTAATTGTCGTCAACGTTTAAAAAACACGTCTGCGAACGACCTTGTCCCATTGCACTCATACGATATCAATCCCAATTAAATTGCCACAGAATTAATTAGGCTGTTCTTTCATGCATATTTTATTTCTAGACATTTTGACGTAAAAAGTAGACATACTTAATTGTGTTTTTAATTGAGGCTATCACCGCAAAAGTGGTGTAACCCACATTGAACTTTTTTTTCTAAAATATTCCGTAAATTAAATTTTTATTGAACCGACCGGATCGAAGGAATTTTTTCTGAGTGTTCGATCTTTGTATTAATAATTATAACAATATTCCGTAAATGATACTAAAGTACAACATAATTATTTTTTATTTGGATGCCATTTTTATATATAAAAAACATTTAATTATAAAATTCTAAAATCATTTAAAATATATTATAGAAAAACAAATGTGGGTTACACCACTTTTGCGCTGATAGCCCCGTGTACTTGTAACACGAACGTTTTAAACGTATGTCGAAATTAATTTAATAAAATAAGTGAGGTCTACATTAAAGAATATTAAATGAAAACAGACTTTTAAGTATGTACATTTTATTAACTAGCTGAACCGGGCGTTACAATGCCACTGTAATAAAATATTTTTATAAAAGTACATGTGCAAATAAACCAGTAACCACATTTAATTTTCTTGAACAACTGGGCCACCTGATAAATTGTTCTAATACGTCAGAAACTTTTGCAGGTGTGGGCACAACAACTCACGAAAGTCTAATCACCATCGAATAACGACTAAACGCATGCAAACATACAAACACACTTTTTATATACGTAGATAAAATATGTCAACTTAATTATATCAACTTTTTAACATTAAGTTATGATGACGGATAAAACAACTTCAGGTTATAAGGGTCGTTATACTTTCAAAGTCCTTAAACAAAGTGTACATGTTATTGGGAATAAAAGTGTAGTGCTACTTTTGTAATGCCCTTTTCAAATTGTTATTTTTATATTTTTTGTCATCCTTAAATTTTGCATAGGTAGGCAAACAAATACATCTATTAATAGTTATTTGTTATGCAAGGCTGCAAAGTTGTTGTTTGACGCGAGGGCTCATATTGAAACCTGAGCAAGCGAAGGAGTCTAAAGATTAAACCACAAGGAAGCGAGTGGTTCACAAATAGAATCCTGAGCGTAGCGAGGGTTTCAAGACACGAGACGCAAAACAACTTTGTTGCCGAGCGAAACACACAACTTTTCACCTCACTATAGCGAGGAGAATGGTAGACGAAAAACAGTTTAGTTACTAAACTATAAACAAATCAGTTTAGTTCTTCGACGAATTAAAATAATTTAATAAACAAAATTAGTTATCGTTGTCAATTTAATGTCAACATTAATAATAATAAAATATACTAACGGATTCTTCTTCTTCTTTTAAAAGATGGCCCCATCGAAATAATCGATGATTTCGCCAATGTCAAGTTGAGGAACACACGCGTTTTTACATTATATTACAAATCACGTAGAACCCAATGATATTTCCAGAACCAGTTGAACGTGTCATTATGTTTTTTTTTTCCATTGAAAGAAAAAGTTATGTGCACTACAGTCCATGGTCAAGTTCGAATTTCAAAAAGCTTTTCCACGGTAGCGTGCAAAAAGCAATTTTGAAAAAAAAAATCGCGCAATTTCTAATGAGAAAAAAGCCTTTCCAAGCTAGTGGGGTGAAAAATTGTTTACGCATTTTCTGAAATTACGCCCTAGCATACATAAACAACATTAGTATAGAAATATACATTTGCACGAATCTTAACAATTTTGAAACTGCTATAAAATTGTAAGCTATAATATTTGGATATTCGCAAAATAAATTTTCATTTCCCTTCCTACTTAAGCTATTGCTTGCCTTGAACTGTAAACTTCAAAGGGTGATTTATAAACTGGTCATTATATTTTGTATAGTATCGGTTACACAGAAAATGCTATTGAATTTTTCTATGATACTCCGGCGTCGCATTCCCGTAATCCTGCAGGTTGAATAACGTCGACCGATTGGTTACCATATACTTAAGAAAATCTTGTATATGAGTCAAAACATGCTGGAGTGATTTTTCGTCTAATGACGTGTAAGCCAGCATTGGACCCAATTTTGCGAAAAGTCTTAACAAGTGTATAGAGCCGTATACTTGTGCCATAGGCACGTCAGGATACTCTTGTAATATTTCACTATATTGTGGCCTCTCAAATTTGTAAAGCAGTTGTGATCCGAGAGTCGCATTAAAATACTCTTTAATACCTTCTGTGATATCAACTAGAACTGATTCTTTCGCTTGATTATGTGCTTTACTCGACTTTTTGAATGCTAAATAGTTATCTACAATCTGTTCCACGGTTAATTTTGCTGGTAAAATTGCCAGTTTTTGCTGCCGAGTTATCACGTCCCAGTCGTCGACAAGCCATACTTTGAGCTCTTCGGGGATTTTGATCTTGACTTCAACCTTTGTTAGGTACTGCTCCTCTGACTCGATGGATAGGTCGAGTCGACCGCGTTTTTTCCTACAAATTACCAAAAAAATTGTTAATTCATTCCTCAAGGGAATTAATAATAAATAAATAAATACTGACTAAGGAAAATTGCAAAAATTTTTTGTACCAACGTAACAACATAACGAACACTGATGACGTAATTAACACACTCAAAAAAGAGAGAGTAATACACTGCCCATTAATCGGCAATAATACACTGAGGTAAGAATACTGAAATAACATATAAGACAACTTACTTGGGTTGGTCAGATCCAGAGTCAGCTGGAGTGTCCTTGCTAGCAGTCTTTGTGGCTTTTGCAGGTGCTGGTGTCTCGGCTTCTTTACCTGAAACATATTTAACACATAATATTAAATTAAATTATTAAAATATCAAGCTGAGACGCTGTCATCCAATACCCATAAAACTTTAGTGCACCATTAAGTACATATTTTCACAAGTTTTGTTTTAAATAGATTTCTGGAAATTCTGCTGTGTCACTTGACTGGTTGCATGCTTATAGTAATATATATAATAGACAATAATTATTATTTATTTCTTTAAATACAGTGAAGATGTGATCATGTTACCACATCGGTCAATGATAGTCATTTAGAAAAATGAACCGGCTCTATAATTGCACTACACAAAACTGTCAAAGGTAGAACAACTAAGGTCCATTATCCACCAAAGAGAAATGCAACTGTCTTTCTTCTGGCAATAGATTGACGCAAAATGGATGTCCCAATACTATTAGATTTCATAATGATGAATAAGAGGCAAAAAGAGATATTGATGGTCAAAACAGTTCTTCTTTACACCACTTAGTAGACTAAAAAGTAAAATGTTGAAGAACTAAAAAGCCTTTGCTATGTAATGACTGAGCTGTGGGATTGTGCCTTTTCCTCCATCATGCAAAACAGCAAAGCCAAACAGGGCTTTAGACTTCTTAAACGCTGGGTTACATAATTATTTCATTATCACTCTTACAAGTTGCATCAAACATGTACAATGCTTAACATTTGATATCCAGCAGAATGAAAATATAAGTAAAAAGTCAACCTTACATTAATTACGTTGATTGAGTGAGCACCCTCTGTAAAATGTTCAAAATGTGTTAGTCATTCAGTAAAAGTTCTGAAACAATTATAGAAACCAATCTTTCTATTTGTAAAAAGATAAAACAAGAGAAAAATCACTTAATGTGTGCTCACTCAGTTCTCAGAGAGGGCCAGTCAGATCTACAAAAGTATTAAGTTTACATATAATATTATTGTACTAGCTTTTAGTAAAAGTTTAGTTAAACTATCATTTTTAATTACAGATCGATTAGTGCCTTTTTCAATTTTTTACAAATACTTTGTTATGCTCACTCACTCCGCACGTTTTTAATAGGAACGATTTCTTTAAGAATCAAATAAGTTAATTAAATTTCGTTTATGTCTAGATTTAGTAAAAGTTACATATGAATTTGTAAAATATAAAACAAGCTACTAATGTGAAACGTTTTTGAATAATGATTATTTTTAAGCGCTCACTCAATCCTCCAATTTCTGAAAAGTAACAAACGTCAATATCTTTGGATTTGTAAGTATTACAGAGGTTATAATTGGTAAAGTTTTGGTAGTAATTTACTACTAAATATCTGCCGTTTCAGATTTCGTTTTGATTATTTAATTAGAAAGATATTCTTTTTTTTATATGTATGAAAATTTATAATGCAAGGTGACCAGACATTATGAAAATGATATTATGTGCATACTACCTACAGTTTTGTAAATACCTATCATTAATAACAATAATAATAATGTATATGTTATTGTGCGTGTAACTGAAGAACCTAGTTTTTGAGTCGAAATTTTGCATCGTTACGAATATGTAAGGTGTTGCCCTGAAATCCAATCGCTGCATTAAACTATTGAATAACCAACAAAGATCTAGATTATAGAAAAAACTGTCATACAGCCAAACGTTCACTAGTATTAGTGCCCGTAATTGAGTGAATTTAAAAAAATGTATGTGGTCTATCTTATTGTGCGTTTAATTAAGCTGCACGGTAATATAAAAGAGGCTGTATGTGTAAAAACTTATGAAAAAAATGTGAAAAACGAATATACCTCACCATATAATAAAAAAAAGCGGTAAAATAAACGAAAGTACTTTGAAGTGAAATTACTCCACTACTTTGTTGTAGAACTCAATTTCGCGAAGAATTTAAACAATACAAAAAGTAGAATTAAAAAAAGGACTTCAAAGTACTTTCGTTTATTTTACCGCCTTTTTGTAAGTATTTGGTGTAGGAATAATCGTGGTGGTAATTTATATTTATACATATATCATAAAAAAAATATGAGTGAAAAAAAATTGGCGCGAATTAGTAGTTACAGTTCGTAAACGAATTACTTTTTATTATTTATGTTACGATTTGAGTTCTCAAGAATTCGTTAGCGGTGGCTCTATAGCCAATATTCACTAAACACCTAAATAATATAATAATGGAGTCTGAGCCTGTGTTTGTTTTAATGATAATGAAGTTGTTATGACTATAATGTAAGTATACTCAATAATTAACACTTCATATTAATACATAGGTGTAAATAAATTACAAGTTCATTTTGGCATTTTCATAATGTGTGGTCACCTTGCTTTATACATTTTCATACATATAAAAAAAAGAATATCTTTCTAATTAAATAATCAAAACAAAATCTGAAACGGCAGGTATTTAATAGTAAATTACTACTAAAACTTTACCAATTATAATCTCTGTAATACTTACAAATCCAAAGATTGACATTTATCACTTTTCAGAAATTGGAGGATTGAGTGAGCACTCAAAAATAATCATTATTCAAAAACGTTTCACATCAGTGGCTTGTTATATATTTTATAAATTCATATGTAACTTTTACTAAACCTAGACTTAAACAAAATTTAATTCACCTATTTGGTACTTAAAAATCGTTCCTTTTAAAAACATGCACATTGAGTGAGCATAAGAAAGTATTTGTAGAAAATTGAAAAAGGCACTAATCGATCTGTTATTAAAAATGATAGTTTAACTAAACTTTTACTAAAAACTAGTACAATAATATTATATGTAAACTTAATACTTTTGTAGATCTAACTGGCACTCTGTGAGAACTGAGTGAGCACACATTAAGTTATTTTTCTCTTGTTTTATCTTTTTACAAATAGAAAGATTGGTTTCTACAATTGTTTTAGAACTTTTACTAAATGACTAACACAGTTTAAAAATTTTACAGAGGGTGCTCACTCAATCCACACATACGTCATTAATTAATTTAAGGTTCAAGTGCAATTGTCTTTAGACAATTTTCAATTTCAAGAGTACCAAAAAAGCCTTTACAATTTAAAGTCTAAAATAGCCTTTTTACAATATGTTAACAATATCCAGAAACTTTGAAAGTAATTATCATTATTACTTGTACTTTCAAGTACAACCAAAATTACCTGCAGGTGTAGAAGCACGAGACTCCTCTCGTGCCGGTGTTGTACTGGTTGTGGTCTCAGATTTGCGTCCTTTTGCTGGAGCTGGAAGACAAAAACTGGACTTTCAAAACAACAACTTTCAAAATCGACAAAACTCCATTATTTCAATGAACAGTGACTAATCTATTGCTTAATCTATACCCTGGGCTCTTTATATAATAATATGTGCCAGACAACCACATTGCCTGGTTTCAAACTAGGGAATTCCCTGTACTATGAGCACAGAGCAACAGAATTTAGCCTGAGGCACTTCCCAGAACACCCAGACCAGAACTAATTTAGAAAAGTTCCCAAATTGGTCCTAACAGGAATCAAACCAGTGACGTCTGCATCCAGCACTCACAATGTAAATCATTAGCCACAGAGGTTGTCATTATTATAATCACATTTACTTTATTGACTACTATTATAAACATGTAGCCATCTTAACAAATGCTCACATTCAAGACCTGATTTACAAACAGACTGGAGCCCATTAATATGAGGCCTTGGGTAGCATGATGAGAGTTATTGAGTACTTGTCTTTGCGTGTGCATACTTATATATTTTATATTCATAGTTACTTTACATAAAAACCTCTTATAATCAACTGTGTCGATCATTAAAAATCAAACTCTGCAATGCTAGCCACTTACTCTTTTTGGTCTTTGTAGGCTGTGCAGAGTGGGTCCTTTGCACCTCCTTTTGTCTTTGCACATTTGCCTCATTATATTTCAGAACTCTGCTTTCCGGTACCCACTCATCCCAACTGCAAACATTTTACAAACGTTAGTTTCGCCATATTGAAAACGTTTTGTCGCCGCTAATTTTAGCGTTATCTTTCAATGTCTACAAAGGTGAAAGAAATAGTTTTCAAACACCATTTTGAAATCGTACATTATTTACGTCTACTCGACGCAACATAAAAATGTTAAGAAAATTCGAATCGTATGTTTTAAATGTAGAATTTCGTGACAACTTCACTTCATGAAATTAGTATTTTACATTTACCATACGCAAAATAGGCGGCTGGATATTGAGTTGCGGACCAGCTCGTTACACCAACTACCATGTACATATATTTTATAACAATTTACGGATAAAGTAAGCAACTTAAACTTACTTCTTGTTCCATCCAGCATAATGAATAAAGTATCGAACATGTTTATCCTTTGTAACAGAGCTTTTTAAGCATTTCGCCTCGTAAATTAGGGGACCGTGAAAACACAACACTTTTTCACCTGAAAATACAAAGATAGATAAATTTCGAAAACGATCTAAACTGGTTAAATTCGCAACACAATAATGTACATATGCTAACGTAACGCAAATACCTTCAGCAAACTTTGGCTTCGGTGGTGCCATTTTTTTAACTTGATGCAATAGCGGTAAAGCGTCAGTCGTCGTTTGCTTTGCTATAACCCACAACCCACAAAGTACGTACTTTTGCTATAACCTGTCGGCCATTGTCAGTCGTTTGACAACGACGTTACGACGACAGCTGTCAAATTGTCAAATGCATTTATATTTTTTTAATATTAGTGGCTTTGCTTTCGCACATCGAGTATATAACCAGAAATAGAGACGAAATTGGTGGATTGTCGTGGGATACTTCACAACGTGATTATCAAAATAAAATAAAGAAAAATGACGCGTGAGAGGATATTGCCAAGGCGCTTAAATTGCCTAGAAAAGAAATAGAAACCAAAGTTATACCCTGCGTTCGCAATTTGTCCGAGAAACTACTGGTAGCGGACGAGAGGACGTGAAGTTCAGTGCATGGTTTGCAATGCAATGATTATTAAATGGAGCCACAACTTCTGGAAGCTTGGACACGTTGGACACAAGCGTAAGTCATATTTTAATTATTTTGTCATTTGTAATCACAGATCTAGAAAATATATGAATGGAATGTAATCTAATAAATTGCTAAAAAGTTTGTGCTGAGTTAGCCGGTCCGTGGAATGCGCGTCCTCCTCCCCTGATGCCTACCGCACCGCTCTGAGTCGCCGTCTCAGTGTCGTTGATTGGCTGATAACGTAACGTGACTCGTGTGACATCACACGATCACTTCTAAACCACAAATATTGTTCTCAGTTCAGTACGCGCCACGACGTTGTACAGTAAACGTTAAAGGGAAAATTGTAGTACAATACTAGTTTATTTATTTAAAAATTATTCTGCCAGGGAACACATCCTTCTTCACTCATGAAATATTCAGCAAAATTGTTTCTTATTTCCATAGCAGATTCAGGATAGCGTCTTCCCATAATTTAGCATTTAAATTTAACAAATTAACAGATCCAATTTCTCCGCGCCAAGATCCTTCTAAAATATCGTGATCCACATTTTCAGAACCAAAGGTTCCATGTGGGTTGTACAGTGATCTCGATTGGCTATTTCGCCTTAAAAAATTATGAAGGTATACGCACGCCATTACAACAACTTCAGCATTAGAGCGTTGGAGGGTTATGGGAGTTCGGTATATACGAAATACAACACCTAAGATACCGAACACATTTTCGACAATTCTTCTAGCTCTTGACAGTCGATAGTTGAAAATGCGTCTTGTTGTCCCCACGTCGTAATTAATGGGAAATAAAAGGAATGCTCCACTGTCATAGAAAAACTATTAGATTAAACGGCCCTCCAACCGTCCCCCCAACCGGCACCCCACCGGCGGCCCCCAAATCAACACCCCAGCCGATATCCCAACCGACCCCCTAGCCCACCCATATTCGTAATGACACTTTTATTCGGTACTTTCGGTTTTAATTGTTAGTAGAACAACTAAAAAATTAATTGCAATTAAAATCAAATCAATTGCGATTGATTTGATTTTGACTCTTCTTTCTCGTTGTAGTAAGAAATTCCGCATCCACCACCTTCTCTTTCTCTTACGTTTCAACACACTGGATATAATTACTATGTACGCTGCACTTATAGCCGCAACCTCCTCGGGCGACATTTCTATAAACACTGACTAGTGTGGCCTACATAATGTTCCGCGACATTTAGGTACCTCGGCACGTTCTACGTAGTTTTTGAGGAACATGTTCCGCAACATGTTGCTCCATTTGCCCCCTAGTGTATCCGGCAGTTTAAATTATAAAACTATCACAACAACGATTAGTCTACTTGTAGGTATATGTATGTTACTTATTGCGTCGGATCTCGTTGGATATCGAAGTATGAAATATTATTATTTTTTTTATTTTTTTTTTATTATTTAATATTATAATATTTCATACTCCGCAGTATTGCAAGAAATTCGATCTCAGATATTTTTAATTTTGGTGCCTGAATCGGCTTCATCCAACTTGTACTAACTTCTAACCGGATGCTATATGTATAAATGATGTAAACAATTATTTTCTTCACCTGTAAAATTGTCAAAATTACTACTATCTCACCGGTTGCTGTTCATAGTCGATATTGCATCCTTAGAATAATAACGCATAGAATGATAGTTTCATAAAAAACTAACTGTCACAAGTGAGGCAAAAATCAAATTCATGTAGGCGTAAGCAACTTGTATTTACGCTCGTCGGCACGCACACAAATATACAAATAATGATGCCATGGAATAACATTTCCCTCAAAAGTGGGGAAATTGTATCTTGCTTAACTCATCGTTAAGTTACAGGTGCCTACAGATTTGGTCGATTTTGTCGATCAGGTGCCTACAGATATGCTCGATTTTGTCGATCGTTACTGTTGATCGACAACGTCAAGTGACAGGAATTTTCAAAAATTTGTTTTTGGTAATCATTGTGGAAATGGCATTTATATCTGAATACACGAAGGCGGACACGACTTTTCTCATTTCTAAATCCAAGATGGCGGACACGTCTTTTCAAATAAATGCAATATGGGAATCGTTTTCGAGGTATTCGAGG